GTGGCACCTCTGGAAGTGACTGGTGCCGTTCCCGTCATTCCTGACTCTTTAGAGCCATGAAGTTCCAGAGTTGGATCCCACAGGGACATCAGCCCCCAAATGTGGTTTTTCCCATTGACTCTTCCAGAAATTTTAGGGAAAAAATTGGGATTGAACGTTCCCCCTCTTTGTCTGGGGAGAGCCTTTCACCTGGAGGCAGCTGACAGGGAATATTTGGGGCTGGAAAATGTGGATTGGGGCTGGAAATTGTGGGGTTCTGGGGCTCAGCTCCTCCGTGCTCTCCATCATCACCATCCTCCACCCCTGGCTCAAGCTCAAGCCGTAGTGATCCTTGGGAATTTTGGGGATTTATCCCAAAATTGTGGTTGTGACACTTCTGGAAGTGACTGGTTGGTGCCATTCCCATCGTTCCTGACTCCTTGGAGCCACAAAGTTCCAGTGCTGGATCCCACAGGGACATCAGCTCCCAAAATGTGGTTTTTCCCGTTGAAAAAAAACCTGCTTTTCCAGCAATTTTAGGGGTTCAACATTCCCCCTCTTTGTCTGGGAAGAGCCTGTCACCTGGAGCCAGCTGACAGGGAATATTTGGGGCTGGAAAATGTGGATTTGGGGCTGGAAAATATGGATTGCTGGAGGCTTCTCATGGTTTTTTGGGGGGTAAATTTGTGGACAATTTTTTCCTGCCTTATTAAAAAAAATCTGAGTGCAGGGAGAAGGGAATGGGAAAAATAAGTGTCAGGAATAAATCCATGGCTCTGGGGGGAAATTCAGGCAGGGTCTGTCCCTGGGAGAGCAGGAATATCCTCTCAAAGGTTTTCTGGGAGCTCCAAATTATTAAATTCCAGAGGCAGGTTGTCCTTGGGAGAGCAGGAATAGGTTGGAAGGTTTTTTGGGAGCTCCAAATTGTTAAATTCCAGAGGCAGATTGTCCTTGGAAGGTTTTTTGGGAGCTCCATCCTGACCTCCTGTGCCCACCAGGGTTGTGCCAAAGGCTTTTTTTTTTATTATTTTTCTTGGAAGGTTTTTTGGGAGCTCCATCATGACCTCCTGTGCCCACCAGGGTTGTGCCAAAGGCTTTTTTTTTATTATTTTGTTTTTTATTTTATTTTTTTTTTCTGGGAAAAGCAGGATTGAAGGCTCTGGAGCAGTGTGTGGGATTTGGGTGGGAAGCACTCCAGGGGATCCCACAGTGTCAGTGTAATTAATGAATAATTTAATGATTAAAGTGCAGCAAACACTGCCTCAAACACTCCTGGGGCTCTGGGGGCTGTGCCCGTTCCCTGGTTCAGTGCCCAGCACGCTCGGGGGAAGAGCCTGGTTCTGGTCCTGAACCTGGTTCTGGTCCTGAACCTGGTTCTGGTCCTGAACCTGGTTCTGGTCCTAAACCTGGTTCTGGTCCTGAACCTGGTTCTGGTGCTGAACCTGGTTCTGGTGCTGAACCTGGTTCTGGTCCTAAACCTGGTTCTGGTCCTAAACCTGGTTCTGATCCCCACCTAAACCTGGTTCTGGTGCTGAACCTGGTTCTGATCCCCACCTAAACCTTGGTCTGATGCCCTCCTAAAACTGGTTCTGGTACAAAGCCTGGTTCTGGTGCCCACCTAACCCTGCCCCTGAACTGGGAGCACTGGGCTGGACTGGGAATGGTGGGATGGGCTGGGAATGCTGGGCTGGGGGCACTGGGATGGGCTGGGAATGCTGGGATGGGGGCACTGGGCTGAACTGGGAATGGTGGGATGGGCTGGGATTGCTGGGCTGGGGGCACTGGGATGGGCTGGGAATGGTGGGCTGGGGGCACTGGGATGGGCTGGGAATGGTGGGATGGGGGCACTGGGCTGGACTGGGAATGCTGGGCTGGGATGGACTGGGAGCACTGGGCTGAACTGGAGGCACTGGGCTGAACTGGGAATGCTGGGCTGGGGGCACTGGGCTGAACTGGGAATGCTGGGCTGGGAGTACTGGGATGGGCTGGGAATGCTGGACTGGGAGCACTGGGAGTGCTGGGCTGGGGGCACTGGGATGGGCTGGGAGCGCTGGGCTGGACTGGGAGTGCTGGGCTGGGGGCACTGGGCTGAGCCGGGGCCCCGTGCCTCAGTTTCCCCGTGCCTCAGTTTCCCCGTGCCCCCCGCTGCCGGGGGCCCTGCCTGGGCGGGGCCGGAGCTGCACAGTCGCTGTTTGTCCGTTTTTCTCCTCATTCCTTGGGCTTTTTTTATTTATTTTTTTTTAAATTCCCCCTGAAAATTCCTGCCCGTCCCGCAGCCTCTGGCAGCACAAGTTTCCCTCTGTCCTAAATCGCAGAGTTTGAATTTTTTTTCCTTTTTTTTTTTTTCCTTTTCCTTTTTTTTTTTTTTTTTTTAACTCAGCCCGGCTGGTGGCAGTGTCACCCGGAGGACGTGGCAACCCAAAACCCACCCAAATCCACCCAAAATCCGCCCAAACCCAAACCAAACCCCACCCAGACCCCCCCAAAAAACCCCTTTTTCCACCTCCCCACTCCGGGGAATATCCAGGTGTCACTGCCACCTCTGTGGGTTCAATCCTTGGGGAAAATTCTGATTTTTCCACCCCCTTTTCCCCAGAAAAAAAGTGGAAAAATCCCCTTCAAGCATCCAGGACCCCCCCAAAAATAAAAATCCTGCGCCCACCTCCTCCCTTTTTCTCTTTTTTCCTGTGTTTTTACCGTTTTGCCTGTTTTTTCCCCCTGAAATTTCACCTCCCCCCCATCCAAAACCACATTTATTTTTAGCAGCCAATTGAAGATGAAGGAGGAGGGAAAATAAACTGGAAAAAAAACCCAAAAAAACCGGAATTTTGTCCCTTTTGGAGTCAGAATCACCTTGGAGCTGCAGAAATGAGAGGTGTGGGGAACCAGGGGCTGCTCCTGGCGCTGATCCTGCTCCCAGGTAACCCCAAAAAAAACCCCAAAAAATCCCTTTATTTTGGGTCATTTCGGGCTTTTTCCAGGCTGGGATTGGGATCAGAATTGGGATTTAGGGCTCGGTTGGGATTGGGGTTTGGATAATCCGAGTGCAGCCACGTGGGGGTCCCTCCTGCTCTCTCTGAATTTCCAGGGGGGATTTTGGGATAAAACCAGCCAGTTTTGGTCATTTCTCCCCACTTAAATTTATTTTGGAGCTTTTTGAGAAGAAGAAAACACCAAAATCCCTTTTAAACCAGCCAAATTTGGTAATTTCCCCCCCTCCTAATTTATTTTGGAGTTTTTTACACCAAAATCCCTTTGGATTTAGGGCGGGCTCAAGGTGGGAAGGGGAACTCACGAGAGGAACTAAAACCCGGAATTTTTAATGGAAAAAATCTTATTTTTAATGGGGGATTTTTTTTTGGGGGGGGAAAAAAAGACAAAAAAGGGAATTTGCACCCCCTCGGGACCCTCCTTGACCTCGGCAGGGCTCGCTGGGGGGTTCAACATCGACGTGGGGCGTCCCAGGCTCTTCCGGGGGCCACCGGAGTCCCAGTTTGGCTACCGGGTGCTGCAGCGGGGGGGCCGCGGGGACACGTGGTGAGTGAGCCCCGGGGGACACGGGGAAACTGAGGCACGAGTGGGGAAACTGAGGGAGGAGTGGGGAAAATGAGGCAGGAAAGGGGAAACTGAGGCACGAGTGGGGAAACTGAGGCAGGAATGGAAAAAATGAGGTAGGAAAGGGGAAACTGAGGCAGGAGTGGGGAAACTGAGGGAGGAGTGGGGAAACTGAGGGAGGAGTGGAAAAAATGAGGCAGGAAAGGGGAAACTGAGGCACGAGTGGGGAAACTGAGGCACAAGTGGGGAAACTGAGGCAGGAAAGGGGAAACTGAGGGAGGAGAGGGGAAACTGAGGGAGGAGTGGGGAAACTGAGGCAGGAAAGGGGAAACTGAGGCACGAGTGGGGAAACTGAAGCAGGAAAGGGGAAACTGAGGCAGGAAAGGGGAAACTGAGGCACGAGTGGGGAAACTGAGGGAGGAAAGGTGGGGAAGGGGTGGGAAAAGGAAACTGAGGCAGGAAGGAGGGCAGTGAGGTTGGAAAGGGGAAACTGAGGCAGGAAAGGGGGCAGCGAGGTGGGAAAGGGGTAAACGAGGAGGGGAAGAGAGAAACCGAGGATATTTGGGGGTTCCCTGTGGACTTTGGGATTCCCTGGAGGTTTGAGGGATGTCCCTGTGGGTTTGGGGGTCCCCGTGGGTTTGGGGTTCCCTGTGGGTTTGGGGATTCCCTGGAGGGTTGAGAGGTTCCTGTGGACTTTGGGGTTCCCTGGGGGTCCCTGTGGATTTGGGGTTCCCCGGGGGTTTAAGGGATATTTTGGGGCTCCCTGTGCCTCTGAACGTCCCCGTTCCAGGTGGGGGTGCCGCAGCACATGGAGCCCCCCATGACCCAGAGCCTGCTGAAGTTTTGGGGTCCCCCCCGAGGTGCTGACCCCGTTTTTGTCCCCGTTGTCCCCAAGGCGCCGAAATCCCGTGGCTCAGCAGCAGCGCCGGCCACCTCGGCATGACTCTGTCGGACTCCGAGGACGGCGGCTTTGTGGTGAGCGGAGGGAAACTGAGGCAGGGGGGTGGGGCCAGGGCGGTGACGTCACCCCAAAAAAGGCGTGCGCCCCGCTTTGGTCCCAGGAATGTGGCACCTCCGTGTTCAGCACCGGCCGCTGCGTCCGGCTCGACGAGGAGCTCCGGCCGGTGGGCACCGTGGCGCCCACAGCCCAGCGTGAGTGGGGTGGCACGTCCTGGGAGCCGCCGGCCTGTGCCACCCCTGGTGTCACCGTGTCCCCTGCCAGGTTGTCCTACCTTCATGGACATCGTCCTGGTGCTGGATGGCTCCAACAGCATCTACCCCTGGGAGGAGGTGCAGGCCTTCCTGGGGAACATCCTGGGGCGCTTCTTCATCGGGCCTGGGCAGACACAGGTCAGGGTGGGGCGCCTTGGTGGCACCGCGGTGTCCCCAAGGCTGGGGAGAGTGTCCCCAGGGCAGTGCTGTTGCCCCTGGGATGGTGGCATTGTCATTGGAGTGATGGCACCTGGTGTGGCACCACGGTGTCCCCAAGGCTGGGAGGGTGTCCCCAGGGCAAGGGGACTGTCCCCAAGGCTGGGGGGGTGTCCTCAGGGCAAGGGGACTGTCCCCAAGGCTGGGGGGATGTCCCCAGGACAAGGGGACTGTCCCCAGGGCAGTGCTGTTGCCCCTGGGGTGGTGGCGTTGTCATTGGAGTGATGGCACCTTGGTGGCACCTTGGTGGCACCATGGTGTCCCCAAGGCTGGGGAGGGTGTCCCCAGGGCAAGGGGACTGTCCCCAGGGCAGTGCTGTTGCCCCTGGGATAGTGCCAGCCTGGGGGTGATGGCATTGTCCCTGGGATGATGTCATTGTCCCTGGAGTGATGTCATTGTCCCTTGGGGTGATGGTGTTGTCCCTTGGGGTGATGGCATTGTCCCTGGGATGATGTCATTGTCCCTTGGGGTGATGGCATAGCCCCATGCTCTGGGGATTTGAGGGGTCCCCATAGAGTTGGGGGATTCCCTGGGCATTTGAGGGATGTCCCAGTGGGTTTGGGGGATTCCCTGGGGATTTGGGTATCCCCTGGGGAATTGAGGAGTCCCCGTGGGTTTGGGGATCCCCTTGGGAATTGAGGGATGTCCCTGTGGGTTTGGGGATCTCCTGGGGAATTGAGGGATGTCCCTGGGGGTTTGGGGGTTCCCTGGGGAATTGAGGGATGTCCCTGTGCTGGGGGAGCACCCCACGGCCCAGAGCCTGCTGGAGGCCGCGCGGAACCTGACACGGCAGGAGGGGAGGGAGACCAGGACAGCCATGGCCATCCGGGAGGCATGGTGGGCTGGGGTCGGGGTCGGGATGGGGGCAGGATTGGGGTGGGATTGGGGCTGGGATTGGGATGGGATTGGGAGCGGGATTGGGCTGGGATTGGGCTGGGATTGGGAGCGGGATTGGAATGGGAGCGGGATTGGGATGGGATTGGGATGGGATTGGGCTGGGATTGGGATGGGATTTGGGCTGGGATTGGGATGGGATTGGAAGCGGGATTGGAATGGGATTGGGATGGGATTGGGAGAGAGAGTGGGGCTGGGATTGGGGTAAGAGTTGGGTTTAAGGTCTTGGTTGGGATTGGGATTTGAATAAAGATCGGGATTGGAACTGGTATCAGGCTTGGGAACAAGTCAGGACTTGGATTGGGGTTGAGATTGGGGTCAGGATTGAGAACATGATTGGGATTGGGAGAGGGAGTGGGGCTGGGATTGGGGTCAGAATTGGGATTGAGGTCTTGGTTGGGATTGGGATTTGAATAAAGATCGGGATTGGAACTGGTATCAGGATTTGGATTGGGGTTGGGATTGGGAGAGGGAGTGGGGCTGGGCTTGGTGTCAGAATTGGGATTAGTGTCTAGGTTGGAATCGGGATTGCAATTGGTATCAGGCTTGGGATCAAGTCAGGACTTGGCCTGGGATCAGGATCAGGGTCGGGACCGGGATCAGGATCAGGGTTGGGCCTGGGATCAGGATCAGGGTTGGGACCAGGATCAGGATCAGGGTTGGGAGCGGGATCAGGATCAGGGTTGGGCCTGGGATCAGGATCAGGGTTGGGACCAGGATCAGGATCAGGGTTGGGAGCGGGATCAGGATCAGGGTTGGGCCTGGGATCAGGATCAGGGTTGGGACCGGGATCAGGATCAGGGTTGGGACCGGGATCAGGATCAGGGTTGGGCCTGGGATCAGGATCAGGGTTGGGACCGGGGTCAGGATCAGGGTTGGGACCGGGATCAGGATCAGGGTTGGGCCTGGGATCAGGATCAGGGTTGGGAGCAGGATCAGGATCAGGGTTGGGAGCGGGGTCAGGACCGGGGGAGAGTTTAGGATGGGGCTGAGCAGGGCCTCGCTCTCCCCCAGCACCGAGTCCTTCAGCGAGGCGCGGGGCGGGCGCCCGGGGGCGGCGCGGCTGCTGCTGGTGGTGACGGACGGCGAGTCCCACGACGGCGACGAGCTGCCCGCGGCGCTGGCCGAGTGCGACCGGCGCAACGTCACCCGCTACGCCATCGCCGTGAGACCCCTGCCACCCACCCCTGCCTTCCCCCGGACCCCCGGGGGGGCTCCTGCTGAGCCCTGTCCCTCCCTCAGGTGCTGGGGCATTACCTGCGGCGGCAGCAGGACCCCGAGGATTTCATCCGGGAGATCAAGACCATCGCCAGCGACCCCGACGAGAAGTATTTCTTCAACGTCACCGACGAGGCTGCCCTCAATGACATCGTGGATGCTCTGGGAGATCGGATCTTCAGCCTGGAAGGTGCTGGTTTGAGGCTGGGGTGGTGGGAAGGGCTGGGGATTCCAGCTGAGTCTCCTTCCTCGCCCGCTCAGGCACCCACGGCGACAACGAGAGCGCCTTCGAGCTGGAGATGTCCCAGATCGGCTTTTCCGTCCACCACCTCGAGGTGATCCTGTCCCTGTGGAGTCAGAAATGCCACAGAAGGCTAAATCCGCTTTGTTAGGACGCCCATTCCTTTCTGTGTCCTGGCTCGCTGCAGGAGGACCTGATTGGTCCTTTAATTGGCTAATTAAGAAGCCACCCTTTGGTAATCAACACACATTAAGGTGATCACAAACACCATGTGCAGCAAGATAAGAATTGCTCATAATTCTTCCCTCTGAGCTTCTCACAGCCTTGGGAAAGTTCTTTGTGAGCACACTGGGAAAGATGGAAAACAACCCTCAGCCCATCTCACCCCTGGCGTGGCGGGGTGACACTGGCGGGGTTTGGGGACACCGAGCCCTTGCGGTGACACATCCCACCCACCCCGGCAGGACGGGATCCTCTTTGGCATGGTCGGAGCCCACGACTGGGAGGGAGGAGTGCTGCAGGAGAGGCAGCGCGGCCGCGTGGTCCCGGCCCGCGAGGCCTTCCAGGAGGAATTCCCGCTGCAGCTGCGGAACCACGCGGCCTACCTGGGTACTGGGCATCCCTGGGGCCGTGGGGTGGGCCCCCGGATTTGGGGTGAAACGGGGGTGTCCCCCGGCCTGGAGATCGGGGGTCAATGGGGGTGTTCCGTGGAGTGGGTATTTGGGGGGGATTTGGTGATACAGGGGTGTCATGGGAATTTGGGGTACCCTGGGGATGCTCCGTGGAGTGGGTATTTGGGAGGGATTTGGTGATACAGGAAAGTCCTGGGAATTTGGGGTGCCCTGGGGACACTCCATACTCCAGGGATGCTCCAAACCCGAAAATTTGGGGTGCCCTGGGGATGCTCCGTGGAATGGATATTTGGGGGGCTTGGTGATACAGGAATGTCCTGGGAATTTGGGGTGCCCTGGGGATGCTCCCTGCGATGGGTATTTGGGGTGCTTGGTGATACAGGAGTGTCCTGGAAATTTGGGGTGCCCCAGGGATGCTCCCTGCAATTGATATTTGGGGAGCTTTGGTGGTATAGAAATGCTCTGTGACCTGGATATTTGGGGTGCCCTGGGGATGCTCCCTGCGATGGGTATTTGGGGTGCTTGGTGATACAGGAATGTCCTGGGAATTTGGGGTGCCCCAGGGACACTCCAGGAATGCCCCAAACCCAGATATTTGGGGTGCCCCAGGGACACTCCATACTCTAGGGATGCTCCAAACCTGGAAATTTGGGGTGCCCTGGGGACACTCCAAACCCAGATATTTGGGGTGCCCTGGGGATGCTCCAAACTTTGATATCTGGGGTGCCCCAGGGACACTCCAGGAATGCCCCAAACCCGGATATTTGGGGTGCCCCAGGTTCGCTCCAAACCCGGATATTTGGGGTGCCCCGGGACCCCCCGTCTCCCCGGGGCTCTGACCCCGCTCTCCCCCCAGGGTACTCGGTGTCCTCGCTGCAGCTCCCGGGGGGGCAGCGCCTCTTGGTGGCCGGTGCCCCCCGATTCCAGCACAAGGGCAAGGTCGTCCTCTTCCAGCTGGACCCCCGGGGGACCGTGACGGTGGCCCAGGCGCTCGTGGGGGACCAGGTGAGGGGTGCTGGGGGGCCTCGAGGGCTTGGGGGAGGGGAGTTTGGGCCCCCCCTCAGCCTCACAGCCCCCTGCACCCCCAGATCGGCTCCTACTTCGGCAGCGAGGTGCTGGCCCTGGACCTGGAGGGAGATGGGGACAGTGAGCTGCTGCTGGTGGCAGCGCCCTCCTACCTGGGGGGGCAGAGCTGGGAGACCGGGAGGGTCTACGTGTACCGTGTGGGGCAGGTGAGGGGGCAGGGGGTGAGGGGAGGGTCTGTGTGTGCTGTGTGGGTCTGGGGGCTTGGGGCAGGTCCCATTTGTGTCGAACCGGTGCGGATCAGCACAACACCCCGCCACTGAAGGAATTCCAGGTGGCTCTTGAGGGGGTAACCCAGCAGCACTGCGGGGGTCCCTGTCCCTTGTGGGTACCGAGGACCCCCTCCCCACCCCTCCCCACCCAGGACCGCCTGAGCCCCGCGGGCTCGCTGCTCCCGGAGCCGCGGCCGCAGGATTGCCGGTTCGGCTCGGCGCTGGGCGCGGTGCCCAACCTGAGCCAGGACGGGCTGGCGGGGGCCGTGGTGGGCGCGCCGCTGGAGGACGGGCACCGAGGGGCGCTCTACGTGTTCCACATCGCCCCCCGCTCGCTGCTGCCCCGCCGCGCGCAGGTGGGTTTGGTTATTGATAGTAGTTATTGATTTGGGGGTTTATTTAATTGTATTTTAAAAGTTCTATTTGTTTTATTTTATTTTGTTTGATTTTTGCTTGGTTTCGTATTTTATTTTATTTTAAAAGTTTATTTTTATTTTATTTTGACTTGATTTTATTTTTACTTGGTTTCATATTTTATTTAACTTTATTTTAAAAGTTTATATTTATTTTTACTTGATTTTATTTTTACTTGATTTTATTTTTACTTGATTTTATTTTTACTTGAAGGTTATTTTAAAAGTTTATATTTATTTTATTTTATTTTTATTTTTGCTTTATTTTTACTTGATTTCATATATTATTTAACTTTATTTTCACTTTATTTTATTTTTATTTTTCCTTTATTTTATTTTTCCTTTATTTCATATTTTTACTTGATTTCCCATTTTTTAAAGATTTTATTTCCCAAATTTACACTTAAAACCATTTATTCTCTTTCCTAACACTCTGAGCCTGTCCGTGTCCCGCCTGCGGCTCACGAAGGGTTAATTAACCCCCGTTAATTAACTGTCGCTCGCAGCGCGTGGGGGCGGCGGCGCTGGGCTGGAGCCTCCGCTACTTCGGGATCAGCGTGGACGGACGGGTGGACATGGACGGGGACGGACTGGTGGACGTGGCCGTGGGGGCTCGGGGGGCGGCCGTGGTGCTGCGGTGAGGGGGACGGGGACACCTTGGGGACAGGG